CCCGGGGGTCTGCGGGCCATCAAGCGCAGTGAGATGCCGGCACCGAGCCCTGCGCCGCACGGCATCAGCAGGCTGCCACAACGTGCCTCTGCCGAGGGCCACCTCCTCCCGTGCCACAGGACGGGCAGGCACAGCCCGGGGTGTGCGAGCAGCAGCGGGGCCGTGGGCAACCAAGCTGCCTGCGCTGCCCGTCTTTCACGCCTCTGCGTCCCACTGCTGTGCAGAACCGGCACGTGTGACATCCAGCATCATGGCCTGGCCCGGCATCGTCCCCTCCTGCCACCCGCTCGCCTGGGGACAACGCGCAGAGCAGGATGGAGCCCACGCCGGGTGCGCGCCGGGCACCCTGGCAGGAGCCTGCTCCGGCAGACCTTGGCCAGGAGGAAGGGTTTTTGTTTTGGATGAGACACTCTCATGTGTTTGGGAGGTTCAGTAAAGCATTTTTGCAAATACTGGAAAATCCCAAACCGCTCGTCTCCTCCACAGCCGTCCAAGAGCTATTAACGGCGCTGGGTGGAGGGACGGCAAAGTCCCCGGCTGAACCAGGCTCCACCGAACCGGACCGCGGGCTGTGGCCATCCTGCGGCATCGCCACCTCACCCCAAACATGAGGGAAGGACAGGTCAGCCATCTACAGGGACTGGATGCTGCTGCAATACCCGATGAACCACAAGGACATTTCAGCAACAGCGAAAAGTGAAAAACCATTCCCTCCCCAAGACCTTTTGGTGTCCATCACACCTCCGTTCGAAGGGGGCAGCACGCAGGAGCCCCGACGGCAGCGCAGCAAAGCGGCAGAGAGCAGCAAAGGTTTGGCTGATGTGCCTGAAGAGCTGCCGTGCAGCCCTGGCAAGGGGCACGCCGGGGAAGCGTGGGACGGCAGGGATGCCACAGCAAAGGTGATGGCAGCCCCCGAGCTGTATCCAGCCCCACCGCGCTCCAAGGAACACAGGCTGTCCCCCAGGGGTTCCCCATCAGGGCTGCTCCAGCGAGCTGGGGTCAGAGGTGGCCACCCCATGGTGAGCAGCAAGGCAGACCCCCACCACCAGTGCTGTGAGGGTTGTGGCTGCCCCATCCCTGGAGGTGTTCAAGGCCAGGTTGGATGGGGCTCTGAGCAGCCTGGTCTAGTGGAAGATGTCCCTGCCCAGGGCAGGGGTTGGACTCGATGGCCTTCAAAGGTCCCTTCCCACCCAAACCATTCGGTGATTCTGTGATCCTCCACGGGCTTTGATGCATTGCAGCTCCCCCAGTACACGCTGCGCCCCTTCCCTGTTTGCTTTGGGCTGCTGTCCTGCTCCCAATGGCTGTGGTGCAGCTCTTGTATCGAAGCCAGAGGAGATACCGGAGAACTGCGGTGCCTGTGTCTTACCCGGCGAGCACAGCGATCCCATCGTGGTGCCTCTCTGGACTTGCCATCAGCTCCCAGCCACCGGCACTGCCCACGGCCCTGGCGACCTCCTCACTGCCCCCCCGGGCCAGCATGACCTTCAGCGTTTCCACAGCACAACTGGGGAGGGAAGCACAGCCGGTAGGTTGGGTTGGGTTGGGTTAGGTGAGGTTGGGTTGAGTTGGGTTGGGTTGGGTTGAGTTCAGTTAGGTGAGGTTAGGTTAGGTTAGGTTAGGTTGGGTTAGATGAGGTGGGGTGAGGTGAGGTGCCATTGGGTTAGGTTGGGTTGGGTTGAGTTCAGTTAGGTGAGGTTAGGTTAGGTTAGGTTAGGTTGGGTTAGATGAGGTGGGGTGAGGTGAGGTGAGGTTGGGTTAGGTTGGGTTGGGCGAGGTTAGGGCAGGCTGCCCGTCCGGCAGGTCACAGGGAGGCAGACGAGGGACCTTCTCACCCGGGGAGCACCGGGACAGGCGGGAGGCGCCCGGGTGCTTGAGGACGGGATGAGTTATGCACAGGCTTTAGCTGGAGTGAGCCGAGCCCATAACTCACTGCTACTTCCATTTGCCCTGTGACGTTTGCCGTTAAAGTGATCCAAGACAATAGACTGAAAAGTAAAGGAGTCCAGAACTACTTTAAGGAGGGTTTTTTTTTGCATTAATATTTTATAGATGGGGATTATTTTGCTGCGAGCACAGAGCAACATATGGGAAACATACATTATCCTGTCAAAACAAAACAAATATTAGCAATGGATAAATCTTCGCCTTCAATAGAGGCAAGAGGAATGCAGTTCCCACGCACACAAAGAAAACGTAATTTAGTCAGAGTGTCTCAACACGAAGGTCTTTCAGCTTATTAGCTGGGTTCCTGCTGTTTTGGCTTCTCATAGGGATGGGCCAAGCTGCAGTGACAAGGGACCGGTGCTTGGAGGGACCGTCGCCCCCCGTGAGCTGCAGGGTGGGTGGGGGCACCCCTGGGGCTCCTGCAGCCCTCTCCTCCAGCAGCGGCAGGAGCCCGCTTGCCTTAACGAAGGACATCCAATCACTCCTCTGGCACATCCAAAAGCTAAGACTAATGATGGAAAAGAAACACTGGCCCACCGTAGGCACGGCGAGCACACCCTGCCACACCAGACCTGCGGCTTTCGGCAGTTTCGTACCGCACTCATCTGTGTGTTTTCTCGGGAGCCAGGGTGGGGGTTCCTCCAGGGACGAGTGCCCAGAGGACCCGCTCCCACAAGCGGAGCATCCTTAGGGGCCAAAGCCGAGCACCCGCCCACCGCGAGAGCACACGGAGCAGGAAAGAAGACAAGTAGAAGAATGCAGGTTTGCTTTCCCGCCTGGCACAGCCACTTCTAGTGGGGTTCTGGACCCGGTGGGGCAGACGGTGCAGAAACCACCAGTCTGCACTGCAAAACCCGCCTGGAGGAACCATGGAGCTGGCGCCGTTAGCGATGGCACACAGCAAAGCAGGACCACCACCGCTTGCTGAGCTACCTTGCTCAGCCCCTGTGAAAAGCCCAGACCGGCAGAAAGTCCTCCGGCGTGCTCTCAGCATCGCCGCATCATGAAGGCAATGGGACAACAAGGAACTAATTACTAATTAAAGAAAACCTTAGGCAGAAGCATCCTTCCACCATATGTCCACGCCAATCTGCCGGTATACGTAACAGTCCTGGTTTTACTGGTTTGGAGTTTTTCAACCAGTTTTCAGCTAAAGAGAGCCCGGGCTGCCGCAGCGCACGCAGCTCCCCCAAGCCGGCTGCAGTGCGTCCCTTCCCCGAGCTGCACTCGAAATCGCTGAGCGGGGACAGATGTTTTAGAAGGGCCTGAAGCGATGGGACCAGGGGGAGCAGTTTGACACTGACGGAGGGGAGACTGAGATGAGATCTGAGGAGGAAATTCTCTCCTATGCGGGTGGTGATCCCCTGGCGCAGGTTGCCCCGAGAAGCTGTGGCTGCCCCATCCCTGGAGGTGTTCAAGGCCAGGTTGGACAGGGCTTGGAGCAACCTGGGCTGGTGGGAGGTGGCCCTGCCCAGGGCAGGGGGGGACTCGATGGGCTTTAAGGTCCCTTCAACCCAAACCATTCTGTAATTCTATGATAACTGATGTGCAAGAGTCTCCATTTAGAGAGGTCCTTCCAGAGAGGAAGTCTCTGACCACGAACATCCCTCCCAGCAGCCTGGACTAAACCCCAGGCTCCTTCTTCATTACAGCCGGTGGTTCAGTGGGGAGGTCCCATTTGGAGGAGGAGACCCAGATGCCTGCCAGCTTTGCCAGCCCAGCAGTGGGCAACTCAGCTCCCCGGGAGCCGAGCTTCCGCCTCCAACAGTGGCCGGGGTCAAGCATGGCCCCATGGACTGGATCCAACATGGCAGAGCTCCGCACGGGCCCCAGCACTGGTCCTCAGCCGACACATGGCCGTACCTCTGCCTATGGTGCGCCCATCCCCACGTGCTCACTCTCCCTCGGAGAGAAATCCTCGCTGCACAACGCGTTGGGCATTCACCAGCTCTCGGTCCACGCAGCCCCAGAGGACGCAGCCAGTCTCCCTGCCCTGAGACAAGGTTGACCTAATCCTGGCGCATCCGTCTCCCATCCTCTCAGCCCCTTCCCGGGGTCCTCGCCCTCGCTGGCAGGGAGCCCCCCGCTCCCACAGCCTAACCCAAATCGCTCTCAGGCCTTTGTGCAACGGAGACCCCTCTCCTGCAGCATCCTGAGGACCACTGACATTTCTGCAGAGCAGGAACGCACCATGAGCCTCAAATCTCAAAGCCTGAATACTGGCGAACCCGCAACCCACTCCAACAAAGCCACAGTGGGATTTATTTTCTCGCAGCAGAGAAGAACGGCAAAAAAAGAGGCCTCCTGGTGGAGGCCAGCGAAAGCCGAGGAACTTCCCACCAGCTCCTGGGTTGTGGGCAAGGTCCGACTGGCAACATCCCAGCACCAGCCCGCTGCTTGCGGGTGGCTGCTCCTTCCCGGTAAAGCTGCTGCGGGATTCTCGCTCCCCTCGAACCTCCCCGAGGTTTCAGCTCCCAGTCTGCAGCTCCAGGCTCTGCCGCCCCATGAGAAGCGCTGAAAAGCCCGGAGCGCACGCAGGGGGTCAGCCCCCGAGCGAGCAGAGGCACGACAGATGGTTAAAGCCGCTCGTTCACGAGGTTTGCTTTTTCCACAGTGTCCTATAGACACTTCCTTCCGCTCCAACAACAGCCCGTGTCTTCCAGCCTCCCCTTCCTGCCAAGCGATCATATTCACCTTTACCATCTCTCTTTGGCATTTAAATATCATGAAGACTTAGAATTCAAAACGCGTACAGGAAATTACTTTGATATTGTAACCAGCTCCTGGGACAAGGCTGGAATTTCACATCCCGGCAGTTTTTCTGCGCGTTGGACAAAGACCGTTCCCCGTCCATCGACCAGCGATGACTTCACGGACGCGGAGCCACAGCTGCCTGCCTGCCCCCACGCACAGCAGGAGCCGAAACAGGGCTGC